ATAAATTAAAACATTACTAGGTATCCTGTTATAACACTGGCTGAGATGTGTTTCCATTGTTCAAGAGACTCACTACAAAAGAATTAAGTAAGTGTGAGGTTATAAACTTCATGTAATAGACTATGAGGTAATATGTATGCTTTTAAAGCAAAGGCATGAAGACTTAGGATAAAGCTCAGTGGTAGAATGTTTGCCTACTATGTGCAAGGTCCTGGGTTGGATCACCAGGACAAAAAAACAAAACACAATATATGAAGGACAGACTTCAGCTCTTAAATTTAAAAAAAATATTTTTACATATTTAGAAGGCTGATGTAATTTCCAGTTTTCTACTTTTAGAATTTTTACTTTGGTTTATTATTAAATATAAAAATGCATGTAAAGTAAGCATCAAACATAAAACAACAACAATAAAAAAAAAAAAAAAAAAAAACTCCGGTGTGCTGCATTATCTTTCCCTGTACTTTCAAATGTTCTACATAATGAATGTGTATTCATTTATAATCATAAAATACCAAAATCCCAAACTAAGGAATGTGGACACGATGAATACGGTGTCTGTCTTGTAAAAGTAAATAGCCAGCTGGGGCTATCATTCATGCAGGAAACATCACTCAGGGAGGAATTTGCCATGTGGGCCAAAGTGAGACTCAAGTTTTCAGACAGGAAGCAACATGGAATCTGATTTGGCTGTCAGAGGTTGCTAGTGTAAAGCTCCAAAGAGCCTGGGGAAAGATGATTCCTGCCTTTGTAGTCAGAAGGTCATCAGGGGGATTAAGAGCCTGGCTTTGTGTAGTATGCTTGGTTTCACTAAAAAGTTGGACCAGACTGAACCAGCTAATTTTAGTCTGAACTATTGCATTTAGTGGCTGATGTGATCTAGAACAAATTATTCAACCTTGATGGGTTGTAATTCTTTCCTGTGCCTGTAACCCAAATGTCTTGGCTTTATTAGAATATGTCTATAAATGAAGGTAATATTTCCATTTTGTAATTACAAAAATTACAGTGGAGAAGACACCGCTGATTTGATTGATAGCCTACTAAAATGTCCCCAGGAGACAATATGTGAGTTTTCCAGGTACTCTTTTAGGTGTCTTTAGATATAGCTTGTGTTCTCTGACTTAGCCCATTGTTGACTTGGTTCCTTTGTATACCATTAGCTTCCCCTCTTCCCACCTCTTTCTAGTAGGGAGCAGGAGACACTTGTGTCTTCCTCCGCTATAATAAATATCCCAAGCAAAGGACAGGATTTGCCATTATTTTTCCTTAGCATAGCATAGATTTGGTTTGTAACATTTATCAAGACGTTGCTAAAAAATCCTAGGAAGATAAGGGAAATAGAACAAAGAGTAGTTGGGGAAGAACCACCTCCCCTCCAGCTTCTTCTCTCCCCTTTCTCTTTCCCTCCTTCCTATGAATAATTATTGAGTACCTATAGTGTGCCAAGCAGGGGTAACCAAAAACAGATGTGGTCCCTGCTCGTGGGATGTCTAATGGAAGAGACAGATAATAAAGACAGGTACTAAAAATGATGGCACAACTAAAAATCATTATAAGTTGAGAAAATAAAGGGGCGCATACTGATCCTGGGAAGGTAGAACAAGGTTACTGAAGAAATGACAGAAGAACTCAAAGCTGAAGGATTGTGGACATTCAGATGTTAAGGGGGCTGGGTAGAGCAAAATATACAGTACTAAGGAAATAGTTTATGGAAGGCTCTGAGGCAGAGTCTTGTCCTATTTTGAAGAAATAAAAGTGGGGAGAATTATATGAGAGCAGAAGAGAAAGTTAGGCAGTCCAGGGAGAGAACCATAATAAGCCAGTGAAAGGTTTTAAGCAAGTGACATGGTTGGATGCATATTGCCTACATAGAATTATCTCTGTGGATAGAGTATACATGCTTTTTTAAAAATATATTTTTTTAGTTGATGGACCTTTATTTATTTTTATGTGGTGCTGAGGATTGAACCCAGTGCCTCACACATGCTAGGCAAGCATTCTACCACTGAGCTACAATGCTAGCCCAGAGTGTACATTCTTTAAACAGTAGGCAAAAAGACAAAGCCTAGAAGAAATGTTGATAAATGTTACAACATGGATGACCTTTGAAAACACTATGCTAAGTGAATGAAGTGAGACACAAAAGGCACATATTGTTTGACTCCATTTACATGAAATTTCCAGAATAGGCACAATTACAAGGACAAAGGAGACTAGTGATTGCTTAGAATTGGGGATGGGGTAGATGATTGACTGCTAAAAGAGTATGGATTTTTTTAAGGGGACAAAGCTGTTGTAAAAATTAGTTTGGTGATGGTTGTACAACTCTGTGAGTACACCAAAAAAACATTAAATAGCAGGGGATGTGACTTACATTTCAAAGAAACAGTTAAAAAAGAATAGTTTTTTTTTTTTCTTTTTTTTTCAAAGAATCCAAAAACTAGGGACATGGTACAACCGAATCTTTTTTTTTTTTTAATACCTTTGTTTTATTTATTTTTTTAATGCAGTGCTGAGGATCAAACCCAGTGCCTTCACACGTTCTAGGCAAATGCTCTACCACTGTGCTACAACTGCAGCCCCACACCTGGATCTTAATATTACATTTCTTCTCACTTTATATTATTCATGTACTTCAAATAATTAGAGCTAACTCGAGACCACAATGACTTTATCACTAGGGTGAGTTGAGAGGCTTTGACTGTTCTATTAATATACATTAGAATGATAGAGGAGACCTCCTTTCATCTAAATCTGCAGTGCTAAGCAGATTTAGAGCTGTAAACCTTAGAAAAAGTATGCAATTAACATTTTAACAAATAGTCCTACTTTGTCACTTTTTCCTTTAAAAAAGTAACCCTATAGCATTTCTTGAAATATTGCTTTCATTAAAATTAAGGTGTTAGCTTAACTATATAACCTCAAACCTAAAAAACTTATTTTCCATCTAGTTCTTAAACTTAGATTAGGAACATGTGAATCATTATTTATTAAATACTACACAGGTTCAAAATAGCTTCAGAGAAAGGGAATACAAGGTTAAGCAGGTGGCAATGCTTCCGTTTTCACACTCTGAGAAAGCCAGTGGTTCTTGGGAAAGCATTCCTGGTATCTGTATGAATCAGTTTCATAGTTCTTCAGCTGGTATGTGTGTCCAGTTTCATCTGGCTTGTGCTACTGACTCTGTTAGGTTTTCATAAAAGTTCATTTCCCTTTCCAGCTTCCATCCTACTGGTGTGTGCATGCCAAAGTGTAATTCAGGCTTAACCACTTTGCATGTAGGCTAGTTAAATTGCTTTTTTTTTTTTTTTTTAATGTTTGAGGAAGTGATGATAAGGAAAGGAAACTTGATTTGGTTGCTAGTTAACGAGAGGGTTTTTCAAGTTGGTAGTTAAGTCTCCGGATTTGTTTTAATGGAACTTTCCATTTTCCAGCTTTCAATCTCTATTTTTTTAAATCTTACACTTAAGAAATAACTATCTACAAGGAACATCATTTTATGTTTCCTTTTTCTTAGAACTGACTTTTAGACAGGAGAGGTGGTTATCTGTAGTGTAGATGATGGGAATAAAATCAAAGGTGAGCTTTTCATTTGGGGACCCTTCATTTTCTCAAGAAACCAAAAAATCCCCGTTAATTTCTCCTATTAAATAGGAGAAACCCAATTACTTTTAATGAAAGGCAACAGACAGCACTAGGGCTCTGACCTTATGGATTTCAGAAGAACGTCAAGGTCATTGGTATTAATTCATTTCACAATTCTCTCACCTGGACTATAAGTGATTATAATTTCTTGCTTCTACTTTGGCCTCCTTAAAAATCCATACTCTGCAAGGAAAAGTATTTAAAACCAAGCTTCTTATTGTTATTTATTTGTATATAGCATAACACGAGCATGCACTCCCTCCCATTTGTCTCCATCATTGCTCAACAGCCCACAGTAGTGCCTAAAACATGTAGAAGCTCAACCAAAATTCACTTAAGAAGTGAACATGTGAATAATCTTCCCCAACTCTTTTCCAACAAAAGGGTGCAACTTAATTCCTAATGAGGATACATTTAAAAATACCCTTCTTATCTATCAGAAATTTTCTATTTGAGGAACACATGCCTTTGAGGAACAGTGTAACCTGACTGTGGGACTAGCCCTTCCGATTTTAACTGGACATAACACATTAGCGTTTCACCTTGGGCCTGGATTTTTGGTGACCAGTGCTTTATTTTCTGATTTCGAAACCACTTAAAGACTTCAGGGTGTGCACTAGGGCTCAGAGATTGTCTTGGGTTGATTCTTGAGGTTTGGTAGCACAGACCACCTGGTGCTTGGTGAATGGTCCTCCCACCGAAGCTCTGAGAAGGGGCGGGGCCATGCGAAAGGATGGGTCTGACGTGGGCTGCCAGATGTAGTGGGGCTGCTGCTTCAGCTGGGCAGGGTCAGGGGCTGTGTAAGAAAACAAAGCTAGCTTTGTGGCGATGGAATCTTGCTGGCCCCAGGCGATAAGCCAAGGGGGTAGAAGGAAACGCGACTGGGCCTGAAACCAAGCTTGCCGAGCTAGCCAAGGCCCGGGTATTTTGCCAGAGGAAAGGGTTAAACCATTTCCAAGGCAACAGACCAGGAAACGCGCAAGACGTTCGCCGCAGGTTCGTAGGTCAGACTCGAGTTTAAAGCTCCCACGGCTGAACGCGTTCTGACAAATGGCGAGGCCGCTCGGGCGTCAGGTGACGGGCGGACCAGTTATGCTTGCTGCTCCGGAGAAGCACGTGGGAAGGTTTTTCTCGCGTTCCTTTTTTCCTTTTTTAAAAGCCCACCCACTTTTGCGCGGGCTTGGCCACGGGGTGGTTCTCGCGAGAGTGCTCACTCTCGTGAGACTGAGTGGGAGGCGTGGGGAGTAGGCTGTGGTGCGGGCTGGAGCTGCGGCGGCGGAAGCCGAGGGGGTGGGCAGGTGGGGGCGGGCCGCGGGGCTGGGAGGGGGGAGGGCCGGGGGCTGGTGCGGGTGGGGGCGCGTGCTGCTCGCCTGGCTCGCGCCACTGGTCGTTGCCGGCTGGTGACATGCTTGTGAGCTGCAGACGCTGCTGCCTCCAAGGTGAGCCAGGCACCGACTCGCCAGCGGCGTGAGCAGAGCTCGGGGTGGCGGTGGAACTGGGGGCCCGGATGGATGGAGAGGCCTGACTGGGCCTCCTTAGCTTCTCCGCCTGCCGGTGGTCTTTCCTTTGCTTCGGGGCCGCCTGAAGGCTGCGCCTTCGCTTGGCTGTGGGAGGCGGGAGGGAGTAGTGGGGAAGGGAGGAAGCCAAAGGCCCTGGGCCCAGAGGGAAGGTGGTTCCTGAGTGTGAAGCAGGAGCTGCCGCCCCACCGTATGTCAGGCTCAGCTTCCAACCTCGGGGTGGTCTTCAGAGCGCGTCCCCAGGTACGTGGTGGGCGTACTTAGTTTGTGTTGGTGGTGTGCGACTGAGAGCCTGTATAGGAAGAGTACGACGTTGCACATTGTCCCCAAATAGCATTCTTCACTGGCAGAATCCCTGAGCTCTGGACTCGAATTTTATATCAGAAACCGAAGCGTCAGGCGGCTCCTCTGAGAATTTATATTTGCGTTAGCTGTCAGGTTCTCTCCTAGGCCATTAGTGGCTTAAGTGATGGCCATTCAGTATTCCGAATGATAGGGATGACTTATTTTATTCCATGCATCTAAGCTGCTGTATTTAAAAAAGGTATAGATGTAATAAAAGCATTAAAAAAACCCCAAACTTTTGGCAAAATGTCAATGTCACAATCAACCATCACGGTGGTAGGACTTGGTAATGTTTTTTTTTTCTCTACTGGTGAGAAATAACTGCTGAGGCACGTAGTTAATGGCCTTCGTGTATACTGAAGTTAATAATTCCAAACCTCTTTTTGGCATTGTAATTATTCATTTGCTTTTAAAAAGCTTAAATTTTCCTTAGCATCCTCCCACCTTGTTAGGAATTTATTATGTTGGTTAATAAATGATTTTGTTATATGTGAAAATACCCAAAGAATATTCAGAAAAGATGGGAATACGTAGTTATGAAAAGTGATTTTGTTTTAACGTTTATGACGTTAGAGTAAATGGTAGCCCAGTGCCCACATGATTGGCAAAATGAAATAGTGGAATTTAACCAATCTTTTAAAATGTATTAACATCTTTCAAGTATTATTCTGGTTATTTATAGTTTTTAATGTTCCTTCAGGCATAACTGACCCAAGAATTGACAGTGAATTTCACTGTTAGTTGTGGTGATGAGTAATTTATGAGAGATCAAAGATTGTAAGGGAATCAGGCAAGAAATTGGTTCCCAAGCTGAGCTAGTGATTAGTGCCCACAAAACTGCGCTATTGCAAAGACTGATACTTTGCAGTATACTCCTGGACCGGTTATTATTTCTCTGTTGGTGAAGATGTAGGAGTTGCCTAGGATCCAGAACCAACAGTGAGAAATTTTCTAGCCTTCTCTAGCTCTGAACTCCAAGGGTAAGTCTAGAAGGTGAAGAAATTCTCCTTTGCCTTTGAGGATGGAAAAATAAACAGTACTTTAAGACAAAACAACAACACCTTTTTTTTTTTTTTTTTTTTTTTTTAAATTCTAGGAACTTACTGTCTGGAAAAGGAGCTGAGACCAATTCAGAAAAAATGTTAAAAGTCATTTAAAGGGAAATTTCCACCTATAAATAGGTATGGAACTTCTGTCCATATATGAAGAAAATGTGAAAAAACTTATAGAAAATGTCTTTTGTCAAGGGTAAAGGAGACCAATCTAGATGAGGAAAGTTCCTTCCCATTCCATCTTGGCAAACTGATTTTCAGAGATAGAAAAACGATTTGTTGCTGATATTTATACTCTTTTGGCAAGGGTTTCAAAGTTTTGGGGCATTTGTTGCTTTGTCTTGCCTTTGTAAAGTAGTTGAAGTAACTTTGGATAAAGCAATTACCAGTTAGGCAAACTGGTATTTTTTTCTTTTTGTCAAAGCAACCACTTGGAGGGAATGAGAGGTGGGGACAGGTCAGGAAAAGAACTTAGCTTGGTTGTGAGGAAAGGGTGTATAAACTGGTAATATGGTGAAAGGAAAGGAAAATGCTTTATTAGATCCAAATATCTTCATTTTTTCCACTTATTCTTTTTTTTAAAATTGTTTTTGTAGTTATAGATGGACAGCATGCCATTATTTTGTTTATTTTTATGTGGGGCTGAGGATCGAACCCAGTGCCTCACACGTGCAAGGCAAACGCTCTGCCACTGAATTACAGCTCCAGCCCTTCCACTTATTCTTTTATAAAAAATATTCTGTTAGCTGTAAATTGACACAATATCTTTATTTTTATTTATTTTTATGTGTTGCTGAGGATCAAACTCAGTGCCTCATGCATGCGGCAAGCGCTCTACCACTGAGCTACAACCCATCCCTTTCCATTTATTCTTTTTTTTTTAAATATTTATTTATTTATTTATTTTAGTTTTAGGCGGACACAACATCTTTGTTTGTATGTAGTGCTGAGGATCGAACCCGGGCCGCACGCACGCCAGGCGAGCGCGCTACCACTTGAGCCACATCCCCAGCCCCTCCATTTATTCTTATACATAATAGTTCATTAAAAGTACTTCCTGTTATAAAGGCATTTGAAATGTGTAGATAAGAACTTGGACATGACAAAAAGAGGAAAATTAACACTTTTTTTCTTTTTTTTTAATAGTTTGGTAATGTTTCATGGGGGAAAGTAGTTGTGTGATAGCCTGGAACAGAAAGATGTTACTTCAGTGAAAATGAGTGATAGTGTTAAGGGTTTGGGTTTTGAAGTCACTTAGACCTGCTAATTAAATATCTCTGAGTTTCATTTCCCTTATCCTTGAGAGTAAAAATATCTACCTCAGAAAGTTACTTTGAGGCACATAGTCACTGCTTACTCAGTGTTTTTTCTTTGACCTCCCTTGTTGGCTTAATAATTATTTGGCTGCAAGAAACAAAAAGCCATTTGAATTAGCTTACTTAAAAAAGGCATTTGTCATACAGTTGGAGCACTGCCTCTGAAGTCCATTTTGTGATTCCAGGTTGGGGTCCTGGAAACCATAAAGTCTTCAGGCAGTTAGTTGCTCTTCCAGTTTTTCCCTGGGAACATACTGTCTCAGATCTCTGGTACTCACTGCATGCCCGTTCCAGTGTTTTTCATATTAGCCTTCCCTTCAAGGCTCTTGTTTTCTGCTTCCTCATTACTTTGGTGTGCTAGAGCATCTACATGAGAATCATTTTTGACTTTGAATCATGGTTCTTAACAAATATCTTCAAAACTCAATTCTAAATTTATATTGAGAGAACCTGATTGGTTAGATTTCTACTTCTTGTCATGTTGGTTGCGGTAGGGGGAAGATGGGAATGGGAAATTAGTGGGGAGGAAACTTAGTTGTGTTTCACAGATTGTAGGGCTATATTTTTCAGACTACTACAGCAAGTTCTTTAAGAAAAGTGTGGATGGGGAGGAAATGATAAGTACTTTGGGGTACTTTTAACATCCTGTGGTTTTTCTAATAGCAGTGAATTGAACTTGCTGTCAGCTTGGTAATGATCTAACCAGATCAATGATCCCTTTTTAGGACAAATTCTGGGTGTGAGAACTGGACAAATTACTTAAATGCCTTACTTTCCCTGTGTGTAAAATGAGTGTAATAACAGCACCTTCTCCTGTGAGAATTATGAATTCACATGTGCAAAGCACTCAAGGTCTAGCTGGCACATGGCAGCCACAAGGTATATGTAGGGTGTTAGTATTTATCGGGTGCATACGGTGTGTCTGGTACTGATATCTGGGCATCAGGAATGTTCAGAGCTGAATATCATTTCTGCCCTCAAAAGAGTTTAGAAGTCTAGTGGTGACCACTTATTTAAAACTATTTCTTGACTTCAGTGACTCTAAATTCTTCACACTGCCATTTATTTATTTATTTATTTATTTTTTAACCTGCCCTAGAACCCTTAGATTCTCTTAATTCATTGTTTGTCCTAGTCTTTGGGCTCAGCTTTCAAGCTTTGTGTTGTGTGCATGGACGATTCTTAGAGTCATTTGTGGCTTTGTTTTAGTTGCCTTTGGGTATTATGTTGACATAAAACACCATCTTCCAGTTATTCTAAAAAATGGCAAAAGCTCTACCTTCTGTTTTCTTAGGCTTGAAATTTTAAAGTTGTCTTTCAGGCTTTTCTTGTCAGTTAATAGATTTTGTGTGGGCTTACAGGGTACCTCCTATGTGCCAAGCACTGGACCATCTGCAAAGGAGATCCATTAACATGTTCCTGCTACTGGGCAGCTACTACTGCTACTGGTAGATTTGACTGATAATGAGAAATGTGTTACTGGGTTAAAATCTCTTTATGTCAGAAATAATCTTGTTATGGGTTAAGAAAATTATTTCAATTTATAGATAGCATATTTACATTGAAAGCATATGTGAAGCTTTAGTATTTTGAGACAGAGACTATGTGTGTGTGTGTGTGTGTGTGTGTGTGTGTGTGCGCGCGCGTGCACTCATTTTTGGCTGTATAGGGAGATTTGAAGTCCATAGCAGTTCCCACTTAGGATTTGTCAACTAGGCCCATGCTGATAATTTAAAACTGACAGACTGGGCTCAAACATGCCTAGAAGTGAGTTCTAACCTAGGAATGCATTTGAGAGACCAATAACTTTTTTCCTATCGATGTTTCAGAAAACTCATGGAAGAACACATATCCCAGGATTAATTTTTCAAAAAGCCATCGAGTAGGAATTTTCTTTCTACTGATGCCAGTTTTGCCATTAAATGTTCCTTGGAATTTCATGTTCTTGATGAAAAATTTCTGTGCTTTATAGCTTATTCAGTTCAATCAATAATAGTTGTTTATTGTGGGTAAGGCATGGCCTTAGAATGTAAGCTCTTTAGAGCAGGGCTTTTCACAGTTGTATTCTAATCACTAAACTGCTACTAACTTCAAAATTCCCTGGTAAGTATATGTGTTGAGTGTCGTCAGTGTTTGCAGATCAATGCAGGGCATAAACTACTATACATATAAGGCACTAGAATGTCAAAATGCTAAAATAAGGCAGCCT